AAAAAAAAGGCGCTTCATATTTTTATTTATTTATATTTTTTAAAAAAAGCAAGCCCTAAGTTGAGTGTCAGATCTTGACAAGTTGTGCCAAATCTGCCTCTGCTTGTCAGGATTGAGTTGCTGGACTGAGCCTTTCTGTTGTTGTTAAATGCTCTTTGATTTTTGTTAATGCTTAACTTCAATGACTAGCAGATTTGACATACTACCTAGGTATTGACCCCCACAAGACATCTCTGGTCCTCTCAGGTAGGTTAGCATTGATATTTGTCTTTGTTTTGAATAAATTTGGTATTTTAAAGTAAGGAATTTCAAAAATGAAATATCATGGCATGTCTCAGGTAAAATCTGGAATGTCCATGTGTCTTTTCAAGAGGGAAGATAGTGGAGTAGAGCGTGATCTTCATAGTTTAAAGAAAAAGGAAAAGATAGGTCTAGGAGTGTTGGTCATTAGCATTTTCTGGCTAAAATGTAGCATGTAAATACAACATTAAAGCTGGAAAAATGAGCACTTAATGTTAAAGTGTATTTATTGGTAGTAATTTATTTTTTCACTTAAAAAGCAGCTAGCAAATGCTTTGTTGGAGGTTTTTGGTTTTGTGGGAGACAGGGGGCAGTGATAGTAACTCTGACTTGCTGGCATTTAAATGAATGAATGTGGGTTACCTAGCACTAGTTAGTTTGTTGCATCCGTGAATTTAACAAATTATCTTGCCAAATAGCATTTTCTTTTCTATCATTTTACAAGGGCACTTTTCTAATCTCTTTTCTAATATCTTTTGTGTGCTACAGAAACCTTAGAAGAAATTTTAACTTCAGCAGATGTAAACAGTTCAGTATCAATTTAGATGTTTTTTAGTTGGAAGTAACCTGTATTCTCTTCAGTATTAATACATGTGAAAATGTAAGCTTCATTACCTCTTCTAGAGTTGTGAAATCTTCTAGAAGGCAACTGTGCTGAGACTTATAAGATACCATCCCAGTGAAAGTAGTTTTAATTAACTCCATGTCCTGGTTTGAGGTAAACCAGAACCGATTCTTTTCAGTGATTTTACTGTTCAGCTCAGTTTAAGAGACTGCACTTTCTGAACTTAATAAGATGTTTTTGTAGACAGTGTCTGCTACTGGAAGTGATAGTGCCTGATGTTTATAGTTACTACCAAGGATTGGTATGCAGAAAGGCTCTTGCTTATACTTGCTTCTGTAGAAAACAAGGTCACTGATAAATCTTGTGTCCTACATTGGGGTGCTATAAAGCAAAAGGGTCACAGGTGAAAGGTTGCACCTATGGGGATGAACAGACAGAACAGTTGACCAAAACTGACCAACAGAGTATTCCATTCATATTCAGTATAACTATGAGGAGTCACAAGGGTTAATCCCTCTGCTTCAGTGGCTGGCTCAGTCCTAAGTTCTTCTGCCCATCCATCCATATCTGGGAGTTCCTGAATCTGGTTCCCAGGTGTCACTGAGTCTGGTCTGGGACTACACTGGTACCTGCCTGCTCTGCAGCATCAGTGGTGACTGCCATCCTGGGATTGGGTTTGGAAGTGCTTTTGTATATATTTGTAGATATTTTGTTTTTTTTCATTGTTTTCTTACTAGTACTATTATTATTTCAGTAAAGCTGATTTCAATTTCTGAATCCGTCTCTGCTTTATTCCTTTTCCCTTCCCCTTTGAGTGGGGAGAGGGGTTGTTAGAGAGTATCTGTAATTTGTTTAGAGGCTGGCCCAGCACTAGCCCTTGACACTCCTCAGCCTACAAACACAGGTGAAACATTTGTCTAGGAAGCTCCTGTGCTTTTGACATCCTTATTTCATTTTTACAAAATATGTGAATGTAAAAGCAGTAACTTTGAAAACTGTAACTGTGTAACAGTTCCCAAAGAAATGTATCAGGTGATTGATTTAGTAGGCTGTTTAAAGCTATCACTTTCAGCAATTTCAAAGCTTATTTTGTGCCCTGTGACCATGCTCTGATATTCCTATGGGGGTTGGAGATAATACTGGTTTAAGTTATGTCAAGGTGGTGCTTTGTGAGGGCGCACCTGCATGTTGTGCTGTCGGGGTTATGCTGGGTTATGCTGTAAGCAGGGTCAAAGAAGTGATCTGATGTTTGGTTCTTTATGTATTGCAACTTTGGTGGCAAGGTGAAAGACTAAGTTATTCTCAAATTGGTGAAGCATGGCCCTTACAAGATGAGAGACAGAGGGCTCCAGCAGTTTTACTGACTTCAGGAGTCTGCCAGGCTGGGTTTTGCCAGCCCTTTCAGTGAAGTCTGCTACCTGCTGAATTGGATACAGTGTCTAGTTATGCATGGGTAAAAATTAGACCATCAGGAAATGGTTACACAAAAATAAAATACGGATTGCTTTATATTACTGCTTTAAAAACCTGTAAAAATAAACTGCAAAACCTTAAATTAAAAAAAAAAAATTTATTTCTTCAAATTAACAATTTGCAAAAGAGGAGAAATTGTACTTCATATTTAACTACTTACTTTGTGGTATGAGTAAAAATATTCAGAATATCCGAAGGACGTTTCTGTATTGAGGCCTTTTGTTTACTGTCTGCTTTTGCTAGTAGCAACTAAGTGGCCAAAGCTATTATTTGTGTTGACATTAGTAATTTTTTTAAGATAAAATTGTTTCTAATGGCTTCTTTTGTCCTTAATTAGAATTGCTATTTTATATAATTGATCTGAACAGCTTTTTTTAAAAAAAGAAAATTATATTCTTATTCACACAAAGTCTTAAGATCGGTATGATTTGTTAAGCCACTACCAAATTCTTCATTAGGTGATTAAATATCTTAGCTGAAGGAACCAATGTCAAATAATGTTCCCCGATATGGTTACTTGGAGATTTATTTATTTTTTTTTAAATGTACTGTATTTTAGTATTTCCTCCTGCTTTTATTTTACTTGTTTGTATGCAAAGGGACAAATGCGCTAGAACTTGCTTTGTGAGAAACTTTCATTGCTACTGAATTCTTGGTTTCAAATGAGTTATAGTACTTAGAATAGTTTTAAAACAGGTTTAACTTTTGGGAAGTTATATTAGATTTTGTTAGTTCCTGTCAATTTTAACATGTTCTTTTTCAATACTTAGTCTTAATGGAAATGAGGAATGAAATCCTGAGGAGGTGATAACACATTACAGAAGTAAAAGTGAAGTTGTACTGTAGTTTTTCCACATGTAATATGTAGTTATCCTGAAAAGTTGTTTCTCATTTTGTGTGGTAGAAATAGTATATAAGATGTATAAACAAAAATTTTAAACTAATCGTAAACTGATAATACAGCAATATACAGGGAAAAGTTACGCTTGCCAAGAATGGGACTTTTATGTAGGCTTTCATCTTGAATTTTTGACATGGAGGATTCTGTTTTCTTTAGGCTCTGTGAAAGTTGAAGGAGACCAAGCTGATCATAAAGCTTTGCCTTAGTAGAATGAATAATTTAATTAAAAATATTAGTTATATGTTTGATATTAAACATCACTTTATACCTTTGAAAACGGTATGATCTTGTGTAGTAAGAATATAGCTTAAACAATGAAATTGTAACACTTCTACACAAGTATTGCCTTAACTTTCAGTTAATGCTTGGTTTAATTGTTGGTAAGGCTTTTTGAATAGCTGTTGATACAATAGCCACATTTTCTGAAATGTGTGTTTTGATGAGAGGTCATAATGTTGTTGATCTCTGAAAGATTAAGTAGCAAGTTGTCGTTTTCAGAAATCAAGAGTGGTGGAATAATATTTGTAATTTAGAGCAAAGTTATCTGTATATCCATCTAGTATTTAATGCTGCAAGAACTGTTTAAATACAGATTTAGATAGTTGCTGATGGTGGGGTTTTTTAAGCCTGTGAAATATATAACGAGCAAGGCTAGATGTTCATAAAACTTGGCTAAATTAAATGTTAAAGTATATAATTTATTGTACAGTACTGACTATGTTAAAGGATTTTTATGTCTTTCTGTTGTTGCTAGTATTCGTTCAGAAAAGTTGTAGCTGCATAGGTATAGCATGCACTGAATTCATACACTTTTATGTTACAGAGGGTCAAGTTTTAGTTTTGAAACACTTGGAATTACTAGCCTTGAAGCTCAAACTGTTCTGAAAATAAGTCAAGCAAATATATACCCATTATGAAAAACTGCATGGCTGGTTTTCACCCATGATGCTCATGTAGTAAAGCTGCTGTTCTCACAGTGTGATGAAAACTTGGCTTTTGCATGATCTGAATTTTCTTGCGATGTTAAAAATGTGGGAATTGACTTGTGAGTATCATCCTTGTGCTTTGGATTTGGCTCCGTATCTATCTGTGTAGCTGGAAAAGTGCAAGGCAAGGGTGCTGTGAGGGCCTGGAACTGGGCTGTGTACTGCTCAGCTTGGTCCTTGTGCATTTAACCCATCGTAGTGCGTTAAGTTTCCTTTAGGCTTACTTTCCTGTTTAGAGAAATAATTACGTGAAGTAAAATGTCATGTTAAGGAAACACGAGAGATGTGGAGAGAGTGCTGCTTATGCCGTCGGTACTTGTGCTAGGCAAAGTCTGGCACAAACCTGATGTTCTCTGTGCACCCCATGCCCCCTTCATGAAGCAAGGCTGTATGTAATATTGCCATTAGAGACTGAGCTGACATGGTTTGCCTAACTATCCTGTTACGCTAGCCATCTGTATGATGCTGATGGACTCAAAATATACACTGAAGTCCTCTTACTTAGGTGAATGTTTTGAGTGTGTGAAGTCAGATAATGTAAAGGATTATGCCTCACAGCAACGTGTAACCCTGCAATTGGTATTTAGAGTTGGAGAAAGGTAATTCTCTATTGTCCTTAGTAACCCAGATTTAACACAGATTGATCTGGGATGTAAATGCTAACAATAGGCTTAACTTTTTATTTCCTTAGTATGTCTCTCTTGTGTGCTACTCTTATGAGGAAAACAAAAAAATGTTGTTTCTGTCAGTAACTTTATCTAATTGCTTTTATTAGTCCCGTTACAACCCAGGGATCACAAACACAGCAACTACAGAAGCATTATGGCATTACCTCACCTATCAGTTTAGCTGCCCCCAAGGAGTTTGACTGCATGCTTACCCAGAAATTAATTGAAACCCTAAAACCTTATGGTGTATTTGAAGAGGAGGAGGAACTGCAACGCAGGTGAGTAAACACTCGCTCTAGCAGTGCTTTTCTCCTATCTTGAGGTTCCTGTAGTTCACTACTGAAATGCTTTCTTAAAAACCTGTAATGGAATATTAAAATGGATTTTTCTTACCTTAAGAGGAATATCTCAGCACACAGAAAAATAAATATCACCTTTGGATTTTGGAGGCTGACTTGCGTTATTTTTCTGTTCGTAACTGTTTTGTTGTAGTGACCCTTATACTTTTCCTTACTAAGCTTTCTAGAGTTTCTTATTCTCAGTACTGCTTCTCACTGTTATTTAGGTGTATGTGTTTTATGAATTCATATTTTATTTTGAAAGTGAATTCATATGCTTAAAGATGTTTATAGGCCTTGCATGCATGCAATTCTTGAGCTTAAGTCACTAGAACATCTTAAAAGAGAAAAAGTAGTGGGAATGTTGTAAGAGTGACTTTGTTTCAGTGCACATATATATACACACACATATGTATATATAAAAACAAGATCTGTAACTAGATATGCAATGGTACTGTAGTTGACTTGCTGTGTAATGATGATCTTAAATACTACTAGTTTGGTCTAAATTCATGACCTGTGATTCTGCTATTTTATCAATAGGATTCTAATTTTGGGAAAATTAAATAACCTGGTAAAAGAATGGATACGGGAAATCAGTGAAAGCAAGGTATGGTTGTATTATACATGCTGTAGGAAGATAAATCCAAAACGTTTTTCCAGTCTAAAAAAAGCATTAAATCTTAACTTTGGGACTCAAATTTGATGAAATAGGTAAACCAAATACCTCCTCTATGTAGCTCCTTTTGTTTCCAGGCAGCATCACCCCTTCAAAATAAAACCTTGTCAAAGAAAGAGACTCATAAATGTTGGAAAAAGTTACAGTACTTCTAACTGTAATTTTCAGTTGTTCCCTATTCTCCCTAGGTACAAATATAGCTTGTCTCTTTTTTTTTTTTTTTTCCGCTGTCAAAATACATATGTATTGTACTATAATAATTATATGCTTGGATTGTTTGGTTTTGTGAACCAGTGCTAGATCTTAAAATAGACTTCTTGCAGCTTTACGATCTGTGTCAATCCTGTAATGTTAATTTTGTAGACTCTAATAATGATAGTAGTGTTTTTGCCAGGTTATAGTCACCCCCACCCTTACAAGTGGCTTTTTTAGGGCTGAAAAGCTTAATTTTTAAGCTATTTTGCTTTGAGTATATTTAGAATTGCATTTTTTTCTGTACACTACTTTTACAAAATAAGAGTTTATCTACGAAGACAGTTATGGGCAGGGACAACCCTGCTTTAAATATTTGGATCCTTGAAAATTAAATAGTCACAGTGTCTTGACCAGTGATTGGAAACTACTTGAAATACACATTGCAAAGTAATTAATTTTTCACTTTTTTAATGTATCTTTTGCTGTGTAAAAATTAATGTAGGACATCTCTGCTCACAGTACTCTGAATTCAAGAGTTTTTCTGAAGATACAAATGTAAGAACTTTACAAGATGTACCTTAACAACTTCAACATAAAATAAATACCTATCCTAACTCCAAACTTTTATATAATGGTTGTAGTGGGGGTGTCTCTGTAATTTAATAAGCACTGTTACTGTAAATAGTATTTTTCTGTTGCTTTAAGTTAGAATCCATCAATTTCTTAAGTCAGTTTAAAATGCTCGAATATTAAGCAATGTGTTTGATATGCATAGTATTTTAAATTAGTTGCACCTGAAGTGTAGAATTACTAGAACAATTACCAAGTTTTAGGCAGTAATCAGTAATGTAGTTGAAATGTTACAAATAGTTTCCAAATGGCAAACATAGCTTTTGTCTTTTCTGTAAATACCAAGATTATTATTTCAGTAGTAACTGTTCCTTAAACAATGTAAATTTTATGAAATTGTGTGTGTTATTTGTTTAGGTAAAATAACCAATTTTATTTGCTTCGTTTAGAATCTTCCACAGTCTGTAATAGAAAATGTTGGAGGAAAAATTTTTACATTTGGATCCTATAGATTAGGGGTTCATACAAAAGGTAACATTAATTTTTATAATACAAAAACTATATGTAATATAAAACTCAAATGTTTGACCTAATGATAGATCTGTAAATGTCACAAAGTAACATCAACTTGCTGTCTTTTGAGGTGGTGTTAGATTTTATTTTAGTTTTGTAGTTTTTTTTTTTGTGTCTGCTATCTGTAGTCTTCAGTCTAAATAAAAGTACATCACTGTATTAGGTTTTTGTCGTGGACTGGGAAATGGACAAAATTGTGGATTTTCATGGTTTGTTCTTTCAAAATTACTACAAATGTTCCACAATTCAAAGAATGTATATTCATGATGTTCAATGCCCTTTCATTTGGTTTGACTTAGTATTCCTGAAGCCATTCTGTGGGTAGAGAAACTAAATTTTCCTGTTTGCTTTCAAACTAATTTCTGGCTATTGCTGGCATTTCATGTATGTAAAGTGTGAGTACCTTACTTGTACTAATAAACAATTTCAGGTGCTGATATTGATGCCCTGTGTGTTGCACCAAGACATGTTGAAAGAAGTGATTTTTTCACATCGTTTTATGAAAAACTGAAACAACAAGAAGAAGTTAAAGACCTGAGGGTATGTAAGCTGCTTGATACAGCTAGCTGAACTGCTAATGTTGAAAAGTTAATAGGGAAAGATAATGTATTAAATAAGTAAATATAACTTTACTAGTAAGACTTGCAGTGGATTTTTCAATAACTTGCAGCAAAGCCTATCACCATAACAGAAGTAAGTACGTTCTTCCAAATTTTCTGTTTCCACTTAATAGAGACACTCGTTTAAAAATCTGGATGGCAGAATGATATCTTAGTGTATGTGTGTGTGTGTGTGTGTGTGTGTGAGTATTGCAAAATTTCTGCTTGCTCTCTAGCAGCAGGCAGATACAAATGTATTAGATTGAAATGGATCAGGACCAAACTTGAAGGTTTTAAGAACTGGAACGCTAAAACTATGTTTAACCTCTGGTAGTTCCTAACGCTTCCTTATTGGAGGTATGTAGTATTCTTCGCTTTAATGAAAGCATTGCCCTGCAGATCTGCGTGTGCTTCAGATGCTCAGGTGGGGAAGGTGATATTCCTATTCGATTACAGAGTAGACATGAAGTTCCACAGTTTCATCATGGATACTGTTAATTAATGACCGCATTTAGAAAAGATACTGGGGCTCTGGGGACTGGTGACTTGCAACTGATGTAGGTGAAGTCAGACTGCCTACTTAGTTGTCTTGTCATTTCTCATAAAATACTGACTGCAGAAACAATAGAAGTAAGAGGCCTCTTAGAGTAAGAATCCCCATAGGTTGACTTAAAAATGCTGTGAGGAGTAAAAAAATACTTGATCATGTCCTACATGTAGTAAGAGAGTTGGACACTATCAACAGCTGATTGGTATGAGTTTGGGTTACGTTTAATATCTAAACAGCTGTAGCATGTAGGATCAGTGCTTACTGCATAAGTCCTCAATGGTGGAAAAAGACACTGCTGACAAAAATCTACCTGAAAACAGGGAAGATTCTATATAGTGTTTAATCATGATTGTTTAGACCGGCTAGTTATTGCTTGTAAATGTTCTCTATACTGAAAATAATTTTTTTTTTCCCCCCTAGGCTGTTGAAGAAGCTTTTGTTCCAGTTATTAAACTTTGTTTTGATGGAATAGAGGTAAAGATCATATTTTATTTTGTTTTGGTAGAACATGTTAAAACAAAGTTTTCAACAACTACATAACTCGTGTAGTATTTATTAATATGAATATGATTGAAGTGACCCTACCAAGTTCATACCCAAGTTCTTGACAACAGCCCTCAGTTGTGTAATGTAAAGTGGGACTTTAAGACAAATAAGTCTTTCTTGATGTAAAGTTGTTTTTTTTTAGATACTGCTACCCATGTGAACTGATTAGTTTACTCACCTGTGGAGTACCAGCATTGGTATTATTAAGACCTGACATTTAGTGGAAATAATACATCTTTTTTTTGTCTGCTAATGTCCAACCCTTAAATTCAGATTTGCTTCAATACCTTGTAGTATAGGAAGCTGTATGATATTTGATCAGTTCTCAGAAATGTACTGGTGAAGGCAAACTTTGTCCTGATCTCTTCAGATGTCTGTAAACACTTGACCAAAACAACAGTTTAGGTGTGTTGTTTTAAAAGAAGAGGCAACAATCTCTGTTGCAAAAAGTAGATGCCAGTTTCTGTCATGTTAGAAGAGGCAACAATTGCTGTTGAAAAAAGGGGCAAATCAGTTTGGCAGAAGCTAAACCCCTTTGCGTTCTGACTTGTCCTCAGGTATCAGAGGGTCTAGGGTGGCTAGGCTTAGGCTCTGAGTGATACCCAATTCTTCCTTACTAACAATGTGCCAATATGCCTTTGATCTGGCGCTGCCCCTGGATTTACAAGGCCATCTTGCAGGAGTGTGGCAACATCCTCACACAGCCAAACTCTGTGTGTCAGTGTCAACAGGCACTCACATGGCCAGATCGGAATCGAATATAGTTTATTGAAGCAACAGATAGACAAATGCCTTTTGATTGCCAGTGATAGTGACTGTCTGCAAAGCACGTGCAAAAGTTATAGATGTATTAGATTATGAGCAGTTCTATAAAGATTTTGGAAGTATCCCGTGGCAGCACTTGGTGTGACCAGGTGTTTGGACCTTACCCAAAGGTGTCCCTATGAGGGGGAAGAGACAGTCTTGTCGACTGATCCCGGCAGCCAGAGGTGGTCTGTGGTGGTATCTCCTCTGACATTCTCCCTCTCTTGGGCCTTTTCGTATTATTTGTTCCATTTCAGGTGGATTGACTCTAGTCATGCATGTCTTTATTGTGATTAGTGTAAATTTTCCTCACATTGCATTTAAAGGTATAGACTAGAAAAATTCAATGCGCAAGCTCAGTGAGGAGTGGTTGCACCTCGGAGGTGGGTAGCTTTTGGGATGGAGTTATGTTTTGGTATTATAATGAGCATAGTTCTTCCAAGGACGGCGTCTATGAAAAGATGACAGACTCTTGGCCCAGGATAGTAAATGTGCAGTCAACTGGCTCCTTGATGTCTCCAGGTTCCTTTGTGTTCACAGAGCTTGACCAGTGTATCTCCACTCCATTCCATGCTCTGGGATTTTTTCTTAGAGTCAGAACATAAAGCTCCTTAATGCTACCAGCCCTTAAGGTTATCTTAGAAACTTTTGTGGGGAGAACTCCTTATGTATCAGTTGCACGCTGTCCTGGAAACTTTCTCAGTGTTCCGATGTATGAACAATGCTATGTAGGTAATTATGTAATTTCAGGTAATTATCCCACATCAGACGCTGTGAGAAAGGTGAGTTGGTTTTTTTTGAGAGCCAAGTGGTCTTACAGTGTTTTAGCCAAGATGGTTGTCTTGCAGTTGCAACTAAAGTTTAGGCAAAGGCGCCTTAACCCCACATGGTGCCTGTAGCCTGATGGATCAGCTGTCTTGGAGTGATGAACTTGCTTAACTTGATTTTTACTGCTTTGAGATAAGTTGCTGGGAAAACAGGAACACTGCTTTCAGAAGATACTCTGTTAATATTTTTCACTGTTTTATAGTCAACCTGTGACTGGTGACAAGACAAAAACTTATGAACTGTTCATACAGTTCATCAAACTTATAGCAGGATCATGTAAACCAGTAACTGGTGGGCATAAGAAGGGTAATGTGACAATGGGGAAAGAATTCCCATGCTAATGTTCTGACATGTCGTGATTTGAAAAGCTGCGGTATTGTATGCAAGACTGGACAGTTCCATCTCTCCCAATCTGAATTAAATCTCTGTCTTGCAATTATGATGGTCTTTAGTAAGGGTATTGGCAATTTTGGAGTATCAGGAAGATGAACCAGTTGCCCTCATCCATCCAGCTTTACTTATTTGTATTTTCACTGGCATTTGTGTGAGTTGACACTTAGGCAGAGAGATTTATTTTCTCCAAATGAGAGAGATGCGTAGAGAAATGTGATACCATGCAGTAAGCTGGCCTGTGACTTTCCATCCGTGTCAGCCTTTTTATTGCTGTCCATTTGCAGTTGGGTATTAAGAACGTTTTTCTGGAGCTTTTTTTTTTTCTCTTTACATAGCCTAGGTATCCATTCTAAATATCAAAACTTACCATAGGCACCCTCTGGTTAGTTTGTCTTGTGATTGATCTTTTTTTTTAATTATTTACATTCAAGTGAGTGCTGTGTCTCCTTTTTAAAAAAAAAAAAAAATTCAAAGCATGAGCCAGAATAGGGAAATAAAAGAATTGCCTGCTATAATAGTGGTATCTTGCTCCAATGTAGTAATTTATGATGAGTTCTCATGGTTTAGATTTATGACTGAGACTTGACTCATGTTGCTGACAGCTGTGGTGGGTTGACCCTGGCTGGATATCGGGTCCCCACCAAAGCTGCTCTGTCACTCCCCTACTCACCTGGACAGGAGGGGAAATGTAATGAAAGGCTTGTGGGTTGAGTAAAGGACAGGGAGATCACAGTCACTGGCAAAAACAGGCTTGACTTGACTTGGAGAAATTAATGTAATTTATTAGCATTAAGTAACAGAAGGGCAATGAGAAGTAATACCCAATCTTAAAAACACTGTTCCCTCACCCTTCCCTTTTGCCAGGCTTAACTTTACTCCTGATTCCTCTGCCTCTTCCCCCTGAGCAGCACAGCAGGATGGGAGATTGTGATTGCTTCATTAGATATTGTCTCTCCTGCTCCCTCCTCCTCAGGGGAAGGACTCCTCGCACTCTTCCCCTGCTCCAACGTGAGTCCTTCCCACAGACTACAGTTCTTCATGAACCGTTCCAGTGTGGGCCCTTTCCATGGGACGCAGTCCTCCAGAGACACAGTGCTCCAGTGTGGGTACCCCATGGGGTCACAAGTCCTGCCAGAAAACCTGCTCCTGCCAGGAGCCTCCTCCAGTGTGGGCTTCCCTTAGGGTCACAGCATCCTTTGGGCATCCAGCGGCTTTGGCATGGGGTCCTCCACAGGCTGCAGGTGGATATCTGCTGCACCGTTAACCTCTGGGGACTGCAGGGGGACAGCCTGCCTCGACACCACGACTCCGGGGAATCGCTGCTCTGGTGCCTGAAGCACATCCTCCTCCTCCATCACTGACCGTGGTGTCTGCACAGCTGTTTCTTTCACATATTCTCACTTGGCTCCCTGGCTGCAAAACACACAGTCACTTCTTGCCTACTTCTTAAATGTGTTATCACAGAGGCGTTATCACCATCGCTGATGAGCTCGGCTTTGGACGGCCTTGGGTCTGTATTGGGGCCAGCTGGCATTGGCTTTATCAGATACGGGGAAAGCTTCTTAGAAACTTCTTGCAGAAGCCATCCCTGGAGCCTCCCTGCTGCCACACCTTGGTGCACAAACCCAATACACCGGTGCATGAGCTTTTTCTAGTCTTGTGTGCTAACTTACCATAAGCACTGTTTTTATATATACAGATGGTGTTAGGTCCCATTTTTTGATGGTTGTGTTTGTGCCCAGTATGTTAGTATCAGAATTTAGTTTTTCTTTTCCTAACTGAGGCAAAAGGTGTCAGATGGTATTGTCTCTCTAAAGAAAATCTCAAAACTGAGAAAAAGGACTTTAGTTTTGTGGTGGTCATGTCAGTTAAACTTCAGAAGTTTCTGCAGTTGTTTTTACATACACATTTTATGTTCTTGCTTAAAATTAACAAGAACTATCTTGATTTTTTTGGTTCTTCCTGTTGAAAACCGATTCCATGCTTTGCCCCCCCAAATGACATAGGAGAGGCTATTAATTTCTTGATTCAAAAAACCCTTTTGTTGTCCATGAACTCTTTAGAGGTGCTAGACCTTCTAGAAATCAGAATATAACTTGAAGCGGAAGTTAATTTTGATTTTTTTAATTTTATTTTTTCCGTTGAAAAGTAGTAGTTTTGACCTAAGTAGAAACTTTATTTGCAGTACAGAATGTTAAGACCAGCTATTAAAAACTTTAAAATTAAAAGTGCACTGAATGCTTTACAAGTTAGTTTTCTTTAGAGAAGTGCTTCATAGTTTAAAATAATGGAAAGTTTGAAGCACCTACAAAAAGTTCTGCATTTTAACATATATTCAGCTTTGGTTTATCCAAAATAATTTTAATGTAACTGAAACAGCTCTTGTTCTTGGTGCAGTAGAACTAGATAATTCATCACCTTGTAAGTGAACTGGGTAAGTTCATGATGATTACAAAAAGCTTCATCTGGTGAAGGGGACTTGTTGCCTGGCAGACATTGCTAGCCTAGCTGCTGATACTGGCTTTATATTCTCATCATACTGACTGACTGTATCTAATCTAAGACTGCAAAGGCAAGCTTACTCCTGCGTGTAATGTCCTTACTGTGTGTAGGTGGTGTAAAACTTGAGTTGAATGTGGAATAGTACCTTACACACAGAATGTCAGGGGTTGGAAGGGACCTCTGAAGATCATCTAGTCCAGCCCCCCTGCCAGCACAGAATCAACTAGAGTAGATCCCACAGGAACACCTTACATGTTTTTGACTTAGAAAAGCTGTGATGACAAATGATTGCAGAAGTAATAGCAGAGAAATTTGACAAAGTCTCAAAATTTATACAAATTTAGATGCTTGCTCAGTAGCTTCCCTGATTTTCACAACTTCATGTTTCCTGTAGTCGTATGTAGACAGTGCATAGCTACTGGTCCTGTACAGAGGCAGCTAGTTGCATGGGTACTTTACAGGGCTGGGTGGGAAAGTTCTCCTACTTCTTGTGTAATTCAGTGATAATTTTGAGACTGTTTAGGTTAGAACTAGCTTATGTTTTCATTACTTACTCTGATGTAGTAGAATTTTATGTTCTCCACCTAGAAGTGGTTCTTGTCCCCAAATGGTTTTATTTACATTGACAGTTGACGTAATTTTTATGGGTGTACTAATTCTGTGTTTATCTTAATGTGTATTTTATCCTTTTGGAAAAGGAGCTACAAGATTGATGAAGCATCTGAAAGTGTTTCATTTTAATGTCTGTGAAGGGTGTTAGAATGTATTATTTAAAGAGGTATTTTGTACTAGGAAGACTACTGTTCTTATTATTAGAAAAAAATCATGAAAATGGCTGACAAAATTCTACAGAAGAAAGAACAATTTTTTTAATGTCTTACATCTTTCTTTTTTTTAGATTGATATTTTGTTTGCACGATTAGCACTGCAAACTATTCCTGAGGATTTAGACCTACGAGATGATAGCCTACTTAAAAATTTAGACATTAGATGCATACGAAGTCTTAATGGTATGTATGTACAGTTTTGCATATAAACTTCACATCTGATATTTTAATAAGTATCCTGCATTGTTTGATACAGTAGTTGTGAACTTGACTGAAATATAGCGACTCCATATGTGGAAATGAAATCATAGCCAGTTTTAGATATCTTTTTGGAGACACGAGTTGTTTCTTGTTGGCCAGATTTTATAAAAAAATTCTTCTTTATTTGTGTACTAAATTGTGCTGTTTAGAAATTAATGGCACTTTAGAGACTTCCATGTGGAGCAGTATCTGTAAATAAAGATGGGGGTATTTTTTAATTTGTATGTGTATGCACATAAATATACACTAAACTGCTTCAGTGATATGTTTGACGTATCAAAATACTGTCAACTTGAGGTCAGGTCTTTAGTAGTGTACCAGCTTGTGTAATCTCTAACTTGTTGATAATACCAAGGCTGAAAAAATTGTTATTTATGTATGGGGTGGTAGGAGCTTCAGCCTGTATGCTACCTGGCAGGGAAGAGGAGATATCACTGATTTCTGTTATGAGCTGCAAACTTGATCATTTGAGATTACCACAGCATCCTGCACTGTGTTGCGAAATTTATATTTGTGCAGTCTCAAGAATTCTTGCTTGCCCCTTACTGCTTTGAAAGGATATCCGAGTCTTAAGTAGTACTATTATTTTGCAACCAGCTCTCTGTAACTGTTTAGTAACAATGGATGGCTACTTATTCTTGATTTAAAAAAAGAGAAAAAGGAAAACAAAAGATCATTCAGTTAATGTTTTTATGTGTAATGTCACTCTTAGGCCTGAAAATATCCCATCAAAGAAATGATACAACTCGTATGTTTAAAAACTATTTTGTTTAGCCTGTTCTCATAAATTCAAAGTTTTGACCTGTGACCTACAGGTTTCCTGTAGCTCCATGAAGACTTGAGCTTTTTAAAATATGTCTGGATGTTCTGTGATGTACTGCATGCAATCTCATAACAGCAGGACTTTAAAACTTGTTTGTTTGTAAATAGCTTGTACAGTTCATTAATAACAGAAAATCAAGCAGCAGTCCAAAACTGGACCTATGTGTGCATGAATTGTCTTCCTGAATGCTGATGTAAAACAGTTAACATTTTCATTTGACTTTTTTTAAGCTTTCTAATTCAAAACAAAAGTAATCAATGTACAAAATTAATTTCCAGCATGCTGATTTAAACATTTTGATAACTTTGAAGGGGAAGGAGGGTGAGCAAACAAAAAACTTTAGAGGCAGCAAGCGTAATAGGTTCTTTCTTTTGGCAGGTTGCCGGGTAACCGATGAAATTCTGCATCTAGTACCAAACATTGACAACTTCAGGTTAACACTGAGAGCTATCAAACTGTGGGCAAAACGTAAGCAGTTTTATTCCAAAATTTCTGAAGTTTTCTTTAACTTTTATGGTTACTGATAACTCTTTTGTCTCTCTTCCTTCTCAACCCACAGGCCACAACATCTATTCCAATATACTAGGCTTCCTTGGCGGTGTTTCCTGGGCTATGCTAGTAGCAAGAACTTGCCAGCTTTATCCAAATGCAATAGCATCAACTCTTGTACATAAATTTTTCTTGGTATTTTCTAAATGGTATGTTGTTTTTTTAAATTTAGATTACACTAAAATAAAATTGTTTGTAGACACTGAATTTTAGTCCTGTTTTTATGGTATTATTTTCAGCTGTTACCAGATTAAGGTGGTAGTTACAAACATTGTTCTTGCTGCCAGAAAATTGTTAGCTTTTCAGTAAGTCATCCAGCATGTCTTGTTCTTTAAGTATCCAAAACAAAGCCACCCATTTTTTAATGAAATCTTTTTTTAAGTATTTGTTGTAACTCAGCTATACTCTGTAGATGAAAGGTCATGTGAACTAAGAGCAGACACCCCAAAAAGTCTTTTAAGGTTTGAATGACAGGATAATGGAAAAGAAGGTATATCAGTATCTGATTTTGGCACATAGCTTAAATGCAGTTTTAAAAGAACCAATGGCAAAGGTGTGGGTTTGGGTCTTGTCAGTAGGTAGGATATTTGGATTTACATATGATTTCATAATCCCAAGATGGTTACCTCAGAAAGATAGTTTGAATAACTCTGATGGGAACATTCCAAGTAAATTTAGAATGAGTGGGACAAAAGTATACTTTGTAGATTCCAAATGAGTATTCTCTTTCTTGAATGACCATGTCTGGATACCGGTATTTTTCATGAGACATTTTTAAGAGTCATTGCATGAAGTTGTTGCTTTACTTTGAGTATAGTGTCTTTCCTACTTAACGTGAAGATAATTTCCGCAGTTTCACTGTCTCAAATCCATAGACTTTATAGCCCCTTTGAGGTACCTAGTGTTTTGTAATATCTTGCCACAGTGAGCTGAGAGAAAAACTTTGGTTGCAAACTTGGTGTGATGTGTTCTTTATAGTGCTGGCCATTTTATATGTTTCTTAGCATAGAAGCATTAATGTACAAATACCAAGAGATTAACTGACTTCCCTGTCTATAAAGATAATTTTACTCATGGGAGTAGGGAGATGACCTGAAGAACATAAATTGTTTGGGGTTTTTTGTAGTGTTTCATTCAGCATTGTTTCTTTTTGTCTTGATTGGAGTTCTTTTTTAAATACATGCACTTTGTAATGATGCTATAATCATACAGACTGTTTCTTCTGTAGTTGTCCATGAAACAGCCAGCCTGAAAACGCACCCAATGTCAGTCTTCATAGAGGAATTTCTCTTTACTAAGTTTATTTCAAGAAGAGTTTAGAAGAGTTTACTTTGGTTACCTAAACTGGTGGTTATAAAGCTCCAAAACTAGAGAATTCGTTGTTTTGATGTTGTGCAAAAATGAATTACAGTTCTATTCTAGTTCAGCAATGCATCTTATTTAGACCAACTTAATCTTGAGGAAATGATGCTTTAGCTTGAAAGCAGAATTAAGAAGGATTTCTTTCAAAAGTATTGTTTGTTGAACTTAAGTGGTTATATCCAATAGTCTTATTCAGTGCTACAATCTTTTTGAACAGGGAATGGCCAAATCCAGTGCTATTGAAACAGCCAGAAGAATGCAATCTTAATTTGCCTGTATGGGACCCAAGGGTTAGTGTATTATTTTTTCCCCTATAAGTCACACTGTACGATAAATTCAGTTGCTTAAAGAATCCTAGGTGAACTTCATTTGGAGTTTATTAAACTTAATGTTTTGGTACTATGTCATCTTTATAAGCAACCTCTAGTTCTCCTGAGCATGAAACAAAGCTTAATTTTCTAAACTGACTGCTTGAAGCACACTTGCCGAACAATGTACTTTTTAATCCCACTTTTTGCAATAAGTGATCTTAATGGAAATTCAGTGGAATATACGACTTAAAGCAATGCATTTTTCAAAGACTGTTAATCTTAAAACAGTTTGCTTCTGACTTAAAACCCGTTACTTTTGCAAGTATATTGATTTCACTTAAGTGCAACAGTCACAACTGAATAGTTGTGGTTCCATGAAGTTGTAGTAATGTGTCTTTTCATCTTGGACCAAAGAAGATCATAACTACTAGTCTTTTAAGTTGTTTATTATTTATCATAATTGATCTCCCTCTTTGTAGCACTTAATATAAAGGACATTGGACATTAATGTCCTTCGGGCAGTCCCTAAAACAGATTGCAGCAAATGGACAGGTCATGTTCTGAGGCTTTGGTAGGGCAGAGCATGAATATGTTCAACTCTGTTTTGTCAATTTTAGAGTAGTTTGTGTTCAACTAATTTTTTTTTTTTGGTGCACAATGTAAGCACTAGAGGTTGAGTTGTATACTCATTTTTACTTAAAATCTGGGTTTCTGTTGACAGAAGTCCACATTTAAATTATGTGAGACAGCTGAAAAAGTGTTCTTTAGTCTTGCTGTTACTCCTGGGATAGGGGGCTTGAGGTCAGTGTGTTGATGGGAATTGCCTGTGTTGTAGTAGCTAAACAAAGTGGGGTAAGTTTATGACAGGTTTTATCTTTAATTTGCCATCTACAAGATTGCTACCGTAATGCTATTTTAAATGTATCTTGCGTGTGTGTTTTTGTCCCTTTTTTGTTTCCCTGTGTGGTGTTTAAGAAAAGATGTGTTAATGCAAGTGGTGCTTCTGTCAGGTTGCCTAGAGCCTGTGTTCTTAATTAAGCTGGCTCTTTATTTTCAGTAGTGTTATAGAGATAAAGTATAAAATTTTTGTGAGGTCTGAAGGCAGTCATTCTTGTGAAGGTGCTCATGTGGTGATAAGGTATCCTTGTTTTGATGTGGTCACAAGCTAATTCCTATGAAATAGAGAAACTGCTCTGTTCAGTTGGTGTTTCTTGACTTAGAAATGCCTGCGACTTGATCTTGATGTGCTGGCAAGTTACAGCCCTCCCACATCACTGTGCTTCACAGTGACGTCCTTTGTTGAAAGCATTATCCTTGTTTTCTAAACTTTCTCTCAACTGTTGGTCTGCAAACTGAGGTCTCTTAGAACTTAAGACTCGGTTGTAGTAAAGGGAGAAATCCAAATTTGTTAACTTATATGTATGCTTGAAGGAAACTGATTGGCTGTTGTTATATATAGGTAAACCCCAGTGATAGGTACCATCTTATGCCTATAATTACACCAGCATACCCACAGCAGAACTCTACCTACAATGTGTCCGTTTCCACACGTATGGTCATGGTTGAGGAATTTAAACAAGGTAAGTATTACCTTATGCTCTCTATATCAATGTTTTTAAACAGATTTAAAATAGTTCCATTGTGGGTATACCTTTGTCAAAGGGAGGGGGGAGGATGTTAAATAGCTTCTTGGTGTGAGACTCTTCTGAGGGAGCTAAAACGTGGCATGTTACACTTGCGTGGCTTAAAGTTCCAAATTCAGAAGAGACTTCTGTCCTTCACTCTGGGAAAGTGAGTTAATTAAAATTTTTTGTACCCTGAAAATGAGAATTATGGGTGCAGTGTCTCTTTTTTTATTTTAGTAGCTTTAGGTTGTGTCATGCCACATGCAAGATTAGTGCAGTAATCGCACTTGATGGCTATTTCTAGGTCTAATATATATAGTACTTGCTTAGAGGTGAGTCCTCTGGATTTATCCTGGTAATCTACATGGATAAGTATAGTAGATAAGGGAAGTTGTTATCAAAGCAGGGAGTAGACTTGATGCAGAGAGCAACTACCAGTAGCTCTCGGGCAGAGCAGTAGCTTGTCTTTCTGTTTCTTTGCTTTGTTGTATAATGCCTTGCACAAGAGATGATGTGTGTACTTCAAGGAAAAAGATCTCTGTCTTCCTTGGACTAAGTAGTTGCAGTAGCGTACACAAAAGATTAAATTGAGCTGTATTATACTGCAGAGCAAAAATACGTGAAATCATCAGTCTGGTAAATTACCATACATATCTAGATGTAGTTTGTTGAGGTTCTTTTTAATAGTATGATTTGTATAACTATTGACCATGTAAGGTATGACTAGAATATAAGGCTTGTTGATAAATTCCTTTTGAACTGAAGGGGGAGAAGTAATTTGCAGTAACCTTTGCTAAGTTAATAAGCTGCTTCTACTCTGGGCACTAAACTGTATTTTTTTAAAAAAAAAAGTTTAAATGTTTTTTTATAATTTAGGTCTTGCTATCACAGATGAAATTTTGCTGAGTAAGGCAGAGTGGTCCAAACTTTTTGAAGCTCCAAACTTCTTTCAGAAGTACAAGTATGTATTTTATGGCATGGCAGAATATTTTAAGTTTTATCAGTTCAAATATCTAATGATGCTCTGTAGCACAGGATCTTAACTGTACATACATTAGACTTCCAAAAAGTGCTTTGTTAGGATATTTCTATACACAGGGGGAGTGAATGCACTATTATATTTTCTCTTACAAAATTAATAATTTCTTCAGATACCTTTTTTCTCTTTCATTTTTTTTTATTTTGTCTTCAGCGTATATTTCCAAAATTTGTTAGTCCCTGACCAGATACTTAGAATGTCACCAGTTACCTATACAATTGGTCTGCTACCAATGAAACTGAAGACATATCAGCTGGTTTGACTAACAGCAAAGTGCTTTAGTGGTGTCAGTAACCATTCTAAAAACGGGTCTTGCTTCCCAGGAAACAAGATAGTAAACAAACTAATTTTGAAGGTCATTAAGGTGAATACGTACTTCAAACTGCGTGTTTTCTTCTGTCATTATAGTCAACAGTTCACTCTGATAATAAAAGGTATTTTTGCAATTGTGTTGACTAACTGCCAGATGTAATAGGTATTACTAGATTTTTTTTTTTTTATTAAAGCTCAAGGCTTTTAGCTCTTAATATTCTTCCACACTTAGCTTCTCTAATTTTGTAATGTCTCTAAGGGAAATACTGAAGTTCACATTTTTAGGGTTTCTAGTAATATGCTTGTGGGGCAGAAGCTTGTTGAATGTATGTGGACTTGCTGAAAGCTGTATTTTTATAATAAATATGGATTATTGAAATACGGACTACATCTTCTTTGCCCTCAGTTGAAATTGGAGACCCATTTTTCTTGAGTCAAGATCAAATATATTTTACACTTGTTTCTGTGTTGGGTGGTTGGTTGGTTATGTACTAATCTAAACAAGATTGAAATATACATCCCCCATTAAAAGAGACTGATGACCTTCATAATGTGTCTGTGTTTTGTTTCTATACCTTTTTGCATGATAAAAGCTTTAAAACATTTGGATGGCTTTTATGTTGTATCTTGGAGATTGTTTGAAAACACTTAAAAGAGCACTGTAAAGTTACATTATTTTTTGGAGTTAAAAATGTGCTGCAGACAAATCAGTTTCTGCTCAAGAGCTTGCTAATAAGTTCCCTAATACATTTTCTTTGTTTCTTTCAAAACTAGGAAAAACAGGAAACATTAAATGCCACTTGAAATAATCTCCATTTTTTTGGTGTCTGTGTGTACCAGCTGTAGCTGCTTTATCAGTTAGCAATAAAAGCTTCCCTTGACAATATTAAATATCCAAGTTTTGTATGCCTTGCACAAAATGTCCTTGTTTTATTTTTACTTATTTTTTTTAAAACTACAGAATGATATTATGGGCCCTGCTTATATTTAAATGACCCAAGATTTTCTGTTTTACCATAAGTTGATTTAAAGCTTTTGTTAGTAACCTCTATGAAATAAAATCACTACATGCAGTCATCAATATGTAACAAATGTGGCTCTGTTGGCGAAATCTCCATCTGAAACCTAGATAGTACAGACTTTTTCCTCTCTTCACACGCTCCTTGTATTTAAATCTCCTTGTGTTTAAATCGTAGATGCCTTAACTTGTGCCTGCTGAAATTCCAAGCAGTGTGTAGTGCTCTGATAAATAAGAGATCTGATCCTTGCTCTGAGACATACTTCTGAAAATGTTTCTTTTCTTCTCTGAAAGCATAGCTTTAGTAATTTATCTCAGTAACAAATAGTTGCTAAATTTCTATGTTGATCATAAGTGCTCTTGACTTACTAGCCTTGTTTAAAATAAACTTCAGTGATGTGTGACTAAGGAGAGCTGGAGGCTACTGCATACCTGCATGGCAGGAGCAGATTAGAAATTGGGAAAATATGTTTTTATTTTATTTATCTTACTTTTAAAATGTCAATAATTACTTGAGTTTAGAGAATTAACAGCATGTGTTACCTGCCCTTTGTGTAGGTTTAATTTTTTCAGAATGGGGGTGGGGAACAACAACAGAGAACACACGCTTGCTGGATATGGTCTTTGGCAAGGGAGTGACAAGAATAATTTCAAAGGGTTAAGTAACATGGTTATGCAGAGAATATAATTATTAGAGCTGAAAACCAACAGGGAAATATGGTGATAAGAGAAATAACGCTCATTTAATGAGACCTAGCATATATTTTTTCTCAGCTATAAAGACAGATATCCTGCTAAATAAGTAGAATATAAACATAAAGGTGCCTTTTTAAAAAGGTACTTTAAACACTTGCCTTGACAAAACTTTATCAGAAGCACTGGATATTTTAAAGTGTAAGTCCTGGACGGCTTTATAAAGAAAAATTGAAGTAAACATGTTGAGGTGTTCTTAATTTTTTTTTTCAGGGAGTAGTATGACTCTTAAAAAAAGCTTTGGGTTTTTTTTGTAGGTACAGGTGTTAGTGGTGTGAGACAATTCCATAGTATGTACATGAGGTTATTTTTATGAAAACATCATGCTGATAAAGAGACAGTGGGAGAGAAATGGCACCAGTTTCTAAAAAAAAAAAACCAAAAAAACCAGCCAAACAAAAAACCCCACAAATAAAAAAATCCAAACCTATATACTTCAAGATAATACCTTGCATCTAAAAATCACCACTGAGAGGTAGAAGCTTAAATTCAGAAATATTTTTTTCTTTATCATGAAGTAATGGGTACTTCTGATTTAGATATGTTCTTTGTGATAAAATTATGAGTGAAGAACTTTGTAAAATTGAACATCGAGACCTTAGACTCTGTCTTAAAAATTAAGTTTGCTCTATTAAGTTTTACTGAAAATGACAATAGCAGATTTCCAGTGACTTAATTCCTTCTCGGCAGTGTTCAGCAGTTGGAGGAGGGCGCAGGGAAAAATTACATATTTTCCTTTTCTTTCTATTTCAGTTAGCACTACCTTAGCACAAATAGGTTATCGTTATACTTTAATAAATAAGGCTCAGGGCTTTTTCCTGGGTGCTCACTAGGTAGTTGAGGCTTTTAGACATCACCAAATTATTTTTTTTCTGTATTGTCCCTCAGAAGTTTTTTTCGAAAAATGCTTTTAGTAAGTAACTCAAAAATGAGTTTTTTCAAACACTTGTAGATTTGAGACTTGTCTCAAGTTCATACATGATAAAATACAACGAAAAGTTGAAGCCATCTTTCCTACTAAATTTAACCTTCTGGAGGTGTGTATGGTAGGTATGCTGTAGCAATCTCATGGATTATAGTTGCACATCTAGTGCTCCGTAACTTCTCATCTCGAACAATATTTGAGTAAAAGACCCTTATTCACTCTTTTATTTAAACTTTTTTTTGGTAGGAATATAAATGGTTGAGTCATGGTATCCTACAAGTAACTAAAATGAGGATTTCGATAATGGGAAAAACTCCATGATCTTTTTGTATGAAGCAGTTAATACTGCCAAAAATGCAAAGAATAATTAGATAAAATGCCCCATTTAGAATAGCACAGAAGGTCCACCAAATCTCTCTTTTCTAGTCCTCTTATTTAATTGACGTTCTGCAACTGATTTCAAAGGAGTGTAGCATTTAGTAGGTTATTTTTTTTTCTTGCCACCTAAAGATTAAGTACTGATTTGATTTGTTGTTTTACCATTACAATTTCAAGGCCTTATATATAGCATCATAGACTTGTTGCACTGTAATTTTTCACCATCATTAACATTGCATTCCTTTCTATGATGTATATATACTAGGGCCTAATCTCATCTTACTACTGTTCTTTAAATCCTGTTCTGAAGATCATAGAATCGTAGAATGTTAGAGGTTGGAAGGGACCTTGAAAGATCGTCTAGTCCAACCCCCCCTGCCGGAGCAGGATTCCCTAGGGCAGCCACACAGGAACGCATCCAGGCGGGTTTTGAAAGTCTCCAGAGAAGGAGATACCCAAGTGTACCGTATTGGTAATGCCAAGTTGGATGACTTAGGATGCTAAAATAGACTTCCTAATTAAACTTATGAAAAGCCTGATTTGTAAGATTTCCCGCCCCGCTGTCCATTATAAGTTCAGTTAAAAGTAATTATCTCCCATTCCACTGTCCTTGGACTTCTTTGTTTCAAATACCATTCTTGCTTTGTGTACTGTTTCTTTGAAATTTACTTACAATGACTATACACTCATTATCCTGGAGAGCTTAAGAATTGCCATCAGAGGAAACATTCCTTGTGAAGCTTCAGATAAGTTTCTTCAGACAATTCTAAAATGCAGATACAAAATTTTTTTAAACCACATTTTGATGGTGTTATTTTTTATTTTGAACAAATGTGTATGTGCTAACCACTTTTCCAGCTATTCAGAAGTAATGTTGCAACTGACATTGTATATAGATGGCTATGAACAATTGGTTTTACATTTCAAGGAATCTCTAGTAGTTAGTTAAATCCCTGATCTCCTTAGCTATTGAAGTAACCTATACTTTTTTTCCAACTAGTGCCATGTTCATAGCCTTTTATTAAGGTTATTGGTATTAAAGTATAGTTGGAAATGTCCTGAAAATCTGAAATGTTTTGAGAAGTTCCGTAGTCACATGCTTGGGGGACATAGCCCCTTTGTCTACTTTAGCAATACTTAATTTTGTTACAGGGTATATACTTAAGATAATAATCTGTAGTTTGCAATGTAGAACTTATTGCAAAGTTTTGATATTAAGGTTTGAATGTCTAGTTTTAGAAGTATAAATAGAATAGCATGTTGTCTTTATCTCCAAAGGCATTATATTGTACTTCTAGCAAGCGCACCGACAGAAAAACAGCGACTAGAATGGTGAGTATAATGCTTGCTGTTTCAAAGAGAAAGAAAAAATGCCACACAACAAAACCAACCAACCCAAAAGCTGTCAGCCTTGCACACAAGGGAATATCTAGCGTATCTAGTAACTTTTTAATGAATCAAAGCGGAGCCTTCAGCGTTTCAGACTTAAATGGATGAAGATGGTACACTTCTGAAAAACACTAAAGATGAAGAACCGGGGAATGGAGGCTGTTGCTTGACTTTTCCTTCTTTACAGCACTTTCCAATTCACTTTACAAATCTTACCTTCTTAAGCCTTATTGCTTTTTTTTTTAGTAAGCACTGTGAGGAGGTATGTTTTCAATCTCTTGAAATACTGTTTCTCAAAACACAAATGCCTCCTTCCACTTGTTTCTCTGCAGTTTTACTAGAGAAGTTTTAATGTTGTCAGATATTGGGAATTTCTTCAATTTCAAAATTCATCATCTGAAGCCAAATTATATTGGAGAAATATGGAAAATTTCTTGCTGACTGCCTTTATTTGATTTGTAATGTCTTGCTATTTAATTCCATTTGTAAAATCAGGCCATAGTGAGAGTTTCAGGGCATTCTTAAACTTCCCTTGGATTAATGTTTGTAATGTTTACACTTAGTTTATTGATCTGAATTAATCTGTCATATATAGTGCAGTAGTTCCTTTGTAGTCTCAATTATTAGTATAAGGAGAATGTTGAGGATTTTGTCCTGATATATGGTGTTAGATACTTATACTATTTTGTATTAATGAGAATTTGCTAATAAATGACATTTGTGCAGGGTGGGCTTGGTGGAATCAAAAATCCGTATTCTAGTTGGAAACCTGGAGAAGAATGAATTCATTACACTGGCTCATGTGAATCCACAGTCATTCCCAGCACCCAAGGAGAATCCTGACAAGTAAGCAAAACTGTTTTGTTTCATGTAATGATTAGGAACTAACTTAGCTAAAATACCAATTCATTAATAAATAAACTAACATTCTTAGGGAATCTTAAAAGGATTAATCCTTTTAATGATGACATCTAAAGACAAACAGTTTTAAGCTTTTCCAAAGTACTATTTATAAAATTAGATATTCCTTATTCCATATAAGAATGTTGTTAAGCCAGAAAGTAACTTTAAGGAATGAATATATTTTTGCTAGTAGCTGTATTGATTGTGTAGTTTCTTGCCAATAATCCGTGTTGGCTGTTGCTACTTAGCTGCTGTTGTTTGAGCATGTAGCATCAGTTGGTAAGACAGTTTTAATTATGAGACAGCACTGAGAATCAGGTAGAACATCAGGCACAGCAGAACCAAAATCTTGAGTAAGTACATTTAATGTTATTAGCTTTAGCAGGTTAGGTGCATGTAATTTAAACTTGGTAACGGCTGATGGTAGAATTCCTCAGGATGTGGAAACAGTGAAGAGAGTATCAAGTGCTTCAAATTGCTTAGGGTTATGTATGTTTTTCAACTCCTTCCCAGCTCTGCCTCTCCTTCCTCCTCCACTAAGAACAATGATTGCTGGTGTGTGGGCTAAAATCTCTTTTAAAGACTATTCTATTTTCTAGATAGTGTTATAATTAACTTATAAAGAATCTTAGTTTTGTCTGAAGTGTGAGATCGGGGAAGAAATTTGTCTTCACTTGGAATATGTGAATAGCCTTGTTTACCTTCCATTACAGCTTTTTCCAGACATCAACTGCTTCAAGTGATAGTACAGTGCTACCTTTTTTTTTTTTAAAAAAAATAAAGTTGTATACATAAATTACATGTATGTTCCAAGTGAAATGGGACAAAAGCAGGCAGTACCTCTCTGGTGGCATTTTAGTGGGTGAATACAGCTACAACTGCCTACATCATCACAGGCTTCAGTTAGCTCTTATTTCAGGGGATTTGATGCAGGCAACACTTTGAGGAAAGGTAGTTTTCTCAAAGTAAACAATGTATATTCCTTACCTCCCTGCCTAAATTTGTTCATTGATTGGAAAACAGTGTTCTTAGTCTTACAGCGAAAAGACATTTGAATTAAAATGTTAAATCTGTTCTGCTGTAGAAACATTACACTATATTCTGTAACGGATACAATAGTTCACCTTCAATGTATATTACGTGAAGGTGAACTACCAAAACGAGGCACTTCTTACCTGAAAACTACAGTTTTTGATCAGTTACAACTAAGAAATTTGAGAGTTGAAGACAAATTTAGGTGGCAATGTGGAAGTTAGGGAATAAATTAAAACTATTTTCAGGGTAAGGTGCTGAATTTCTGTCATCTTCTTTCAAATCTGTTTCCTTCACTGTTGCAATGGCTAGTTGTTGCTCCTAAAGAACGAGAGGATCTATACAGAAACACAGTTGAATGAATTAATCTACCGATGATATTAGTTCATTAATTTTGCTGGAAATAGATGTGTCAGTATTTCATGACTTTTTTTTTTATTGTGAAGGAAAAGGAAATGTCATAAGGTTGGCTTTTTTTTTTTTTGGCCTTTCTGTGGTTAGCTCTGCAATGCTAGTGGAGCTAAAATGTAAAACTGCTGCTATTACAGCAGATAACTTACTACATTTTTCATTCTTCCGTGAGTGTAATATGACTTTTTATATAAAAAACTTTCCAGGGAAGAATTCCGTACAATGTGGGTGATTGGGTTGGTGTTTAAGAAAACAGAAAATTCTGAAAATTTAAGTGTTGATCTTACCTACGACATTCAGTCTTTTACAGACACAGGTGAGTTTTTCTTTCTAGATATTATGGTATTAATAAACTTGTTGAAGTTGTTGTCATTGTTCATATTATCTGTTTGTTTCAGTAGTAGAATTGTATCTAGGCATAGAGTAGAAGAATTCGACTAAGGAGTTAGGGTATTATTTAATGACACACAGTTCTAGTGAGTCTTAATGCTTCTAGACATGTTCAGTGAGATTCCTTAACATTTACAGAATGGACAGTGAATAAGGGAGATCCCTCTTCAGTTTTTGTATTTAAGATCTGCAGAATAATTTTTCTTATTTTTTACATTTGCCACGGCTTTGCTCAGCATTGTAGAGAAAGTTGATGTGAAAGAATGAACTTTTCATTTTTACCTGGCTTTACATGACCCTGAGATGCTGGGTTGCAGTGTGGTTCCTTTACTGTCACTAACTGCTGACTCATCAGAAGGCAAAGTAAATCTTCTGAGGTGAAGAGAAAATAGCTTCAAAAAAACCTCACAGTAGAAAAAAACCAAAACATAAATCACTTGTGTATAAAAGCATAGTAGTATCTGAGTTGCAAGTACATTTTGTGATATATTAGCTGGCACACAAGCATTCAGCTCCTGAATTAGAATTCATTTGTTACAGAAGTTGCATAAATAAAAGCTGAATCAACTGTGAAGAAAATACTTTTGTGTAAATACTGTAGTTCTTAGGAGGAAGTCTTACTTCTATCTTTAGTTCCTTTGAGATTAAATGAAAAGTTCACTTTGAGCTGTTGCTGATAGGACTTGTTAACAAGACATTTTAAAGAACTATGTGCTTCCAAGATATTTTTCTTGGAAACAGGCTCTAGTTAAGTTCTGGCATGGTAGGCAGTTCACTTTCTTCCTGCAGAACATGGAAACACTGTGCTTGTTCCTGAGGGTAATGTAGGTTCTGAAATGCACCTTGTGTCTGGGCAAGAAAGTGGACTTTGTGAAGTGTTTCAGCATGTCTTAATGTTATTCTAATTGTGTAGTTTATAGGCAAGCAATAAACAGCAAGATGTTTGAGATGGATATGAAGATTGCTGCAAGGCATGTGAAACGTAAGCAACTTCACCAACTGCTACCTAATCATGTGCTTCAGAAAAAGAAAAAGGTAAACTTTACTAATATTTGAGAGCAATGAAAATGCCATTGAGAAGTGATTCCTCAGCTTTCTAGATTTACTAATCAAAGAACTAAAATCACATTTTGAAAGCTTAGTTTTACCTGTGTCTTATTTACTTGTGATCTTATTTGACTGTAGCAGTATTACTAGATGCACTAAATATAATACTGGATTTCAAGAACATCAACAGGTATAGTATCATCAGGTTTGGCTGAAATACCGTATTTTGTTGGCCTTCCTAAACTGAATATGTTTGAAACTGTGTAATAATAAGGTTGTAAAGCTCTCTTGCCATTTTAACATGCTGGTCATCTAAAGGAAGCGTTTTACAATACCAATAGAACAATCAGTCAAGCACATCTTATATTTAGCTTTTTTCTTTTAAGTTTTTATTACTTAGGTTTTCTTGTAAGTCTCCTAAATGTAAAATTGCAAGTCATCAATAGTAGCAGACTAGAATGTTGAACTTCTTGTTGCATTTTCGTATCTACGATGGTAGTCTGTTACTGTAACTGAGGTTGGATACTTTTGAGGATAAATTGAAGGAAAGTACTCTGCAGCTTGGCAGCTTTTGGTAATGTATGCTCATTTAATTAAGAGCAAAAGACTTAAATGATAATTTTGACATCAGAAAGTTGCCCAGTTTCTAGCCAGGGTTATTTTCTCCCCAAATGTATAGTTTACCTGTGTGACCATACATGAGTAGTTAGCAAGATTTTTAATTAAGCTCTTGTGTTGAATGTGATTTACTTTCAGTGGAGGCAAGAAGTGAAGGCTGGACCGTGAAATTTAACAACTTAGTCTGTATTTCAAAATCCCGGCTTCTTTGTGTTAGCTTAATCTGAAAGCAATACTTGTTTTTTCTGAATAGTTAACCCCTTGTTCTACTGTGTTTTAGGCATATCTGAATAACATGCTTTATTACTGTAGCTGTTTATGTTAACTTCTCTTTTAAAGAATAGGAAATCTTGCATTGAAACCAAGTATAAATCTGTAATACGTTTCAGAGGATGATGTAAATATTAAGTAATTAATCTCTTTCGGTAATGCATCAGAAGAGCTTTTCATGTCCAATGATTATTTTAATTTCAAATCAGTCTCTAAATTCTTTGTATTAATTGTGATTTTGGTGTAGGTCAGTGTTACTTTGAAGTTAATAAAAGCAGTATCAAGAAGCCCACAAAAAACCAAGAAACTGGAAATAAACCGTTACTGTATTTTCAGTTTTATCTTAGTTTTTGAATATCACTGGTTGAGACAGATCTGTGCCTGAATTGTGAAGGTGAAAAGATAAATGCCTGTAGTGAAAGGATAGTGGACTATTTGCATGTAAAAGGATTTGAAAATTGTCCGATTATGTTTTGAATTTTAAATGCTCCTACTTTCAGTTTTTGTTGTGGTTTTTTTTCTGTAAAAATGTACATAAATTTAACAGCATTTAAGGCACACATGGGTACTTAGTTCATGGTGAAACCTCACTGCTGTTAAATCACCTCATTTCTTTTTTTTCCCTTCACAAATGTAACAGCTAACATTTTGCACAACTGAAGTATTACATCATTTGACTCTTAGTTGATTTTTAAGCCCTTAAGAAGACTAATGCAATTTTCTTTTGTATATTGCAGCATTCAACAGAAGGAATCCGGTTGACAGCTCTCAATGACAGCAGCCTAGACTTATCTATGGACAGTGATAACAGCACGTCTGTGCCTTCGCCTACTAGTGCTATGAAGACGAGTCCATTGAACAGTTCTGGAAGTTCTCAGGGGTAATGAAGACTTTTGAGTCTTGTTGCTGCTCTCTATTCCTGGCTTACTTGTGTTAAAAGTGTATCAGATACTGAGTGTGTGAGATACTAGTTGAAAAGGTATGAATGTTCCAGATTAGGGCTTGCCAAGACTCTTATTTCCAGTTTGAGCACTAGAGCAAGGTTAAATTTTTGGGGCATAGGGAGCATGCCCTCGGACTTCTGATGAGGAAGTTGGGTAAAGATGCTTAGAAGAACAAGGTGATTTAAAGACTTGAGAGCACTGCAGTAGGAGGTAGTGAGCAGGACTCTTTTTTTCAAGAGTCTTATGTTTGTCTGTTTGTTACACAGAGAGATTTGCATCACTCTCCTGCAATTGTGCAGAATTAGAAGTATATTATAGGATGCTGTGTAGAATAAAATGTTTAAGTTTGCTAAACTTAGTTCTTTTGACAAGAGCTCTTTTAGTTATGTCTTCCTTGGTAAATGATCTCCAGTAGTTGATACCACTGGCCATGCTCTTAAAACGAGTCTATGATATCTAGGATGTCACATTTGAAGTGGAAATCGGCCTGTGTTGATTTTTAGACACATACTCCTTCCATATTTATTGAGAGTGGAAAACAAAGTTATTTGTCATGTAAAATCCTAGGCCTTTGCTTGGGAAGTCCAGACTGAAATCATAGTTGTAATGTGTGTGTAGATTGAAAACAAACTTCTGTCCCAGTCCTTCTACACTGGTTTTGTTCAATCCTTCAGGAAAATAGTTGCTATATTTTCACCTGCCCCTTATTTGGACAGACATCGCCTTATTTTTTTTTTAATACACAGTAGCTTTACTGATGTTCAGCATTTTGTAATTTTTCTCTTTTTAGGAGAAGCAGTCCTGCGCCAGCTGTAACAGCAGCATCTGTGACCAACATACAGGCTTCTGAAGTCACTGTGCCACAAATAAATTCCAGTGAAAGCTCAGGGGGTAAGGAAAATGGCATAGTATATTGTTTCTACTGATTTTTTTGGTAATGTTTATAAATCAGTTTTTCTTCCAGTTTGAGGTCTTTACTTACCACATGCTATAACATGTTTTCCTTGATACACAGATTTCGTTAGGACTCAGGAAATCATGGTGGAATGTTTTGCCCCATCATATTTGTATATTCCTTTATTCTTAGGGATTCATATTTGCCATTCACAGTAGTAATAGTTTTCTGATGACCTGATGCAGGTCTGTGGTTTAGTTGGTCAAATGAGGAAAAACTATCAGAAGCTGGAAGACGAATTATTTATTTTTAGTCCATTTTGTAGTTTAAACCAGAGGTGGTTCTATACTGCCTGTAACTATAGATGTAAGCAGAACACATGCTCCTTGCTGGTGTCTTTTCAAATATGTTCCACTGTGTGTGCTGACTTCATCCTCCATATTTTCTACAAGAAATAATACCCTTTACTTGAAGGAAAAAAAAAATAACTCACAGAACTTTGCAATTAAAGAACAAAGGCATCTGGTAAAAATGTTCACTTAGAGTCAGCTACTCCTCTTTTTTGATGGAACTTTAGCTATATACAAGGAGCAAGTCAGCAACAGATGGGAAAAGGGACCAACTGGTTAGCCTTTCAAGATGAAATATCTCATATTTCATTCTGATGTTTAGGATGATGTTTTCTGATACTTATTGTAAGTCACAGGTGCATCAGTGAGTTCATCCTTGAGTACTAAATGGATCTTAAAGGGCCTGACTGTTTTTTAGATTTGAAGCACCTCATTTGTTCATTCTCATAGTTATTAATGAAAAATGTTCTCAATGTAATTTTTCTCATCCTGGAGCCATCTCCCTATGTGTGCTTATTGGCTTGAAATAGGCAACGGATGAGGTAGAGCTTTGTCATATGGCGCATTTTTCAAAAGGATGTACGGAATCTTTTTATCTGATGCTCTGTGATGACTTCATATCTGTCATTGTGTGCTCTATGCCTGAGGAATGATGAACTTCAAGTTTGAATGACAAAGAGAATATCAGGTTGCTCTTGGATTTGATTTAAAGCAGTCTTTGGCAGTGCATCTCTATGGCCAAGTACAGAAACGGTAACACTTCTTCGGGTGCCAAGAATAATACAGCTCTATTAGCACAGAGCCCTGTCTGGCTAGTATACCCTGCTGTTAAGCAGGGTTAATTGGATCAAGCAGAGTTTCACTGGCATGGCTACCATGTATCTGTACAGGAATTCAGTCTCAGAATGAGCTCAAAATGAAACGGTGCTGTGTATGCACACCTGCTGTTCCAGGCATGATGCTTATACAACTAACTGTACCACTTCCTTGATGCCTACTTGATACCAGTGGAATAGAGAGAGCAAAAATACCACTGATTGAACTGAAATGGTTGTGTCTGCTCATCTTGCTGAAGCTTTTAAAATTATTTATCCATAGGTACTTCAAATGAAAGCATTCCTCAAACTGCCACACAACCAGCCATTTCTCCACCACCAAAGCCTGCCATCTCTAGAATTGTTTCCTCAGCGTATCTATTAAATCCATCACCAAGAACTTCAGGAAATGTTGCAACAAAAATGCCTAGCCCTGTCACAGCTGTGAAAAGGACATCTTCTCCCCATAATGAAGAGTCTCCCAAGAAAATGAAAATTGAAGAGGTATTTGAGACCTAGCGATCATACCGTAGCAATGTCCAAAGCTTTGAATATTCACTTTAGCTTTAGAGTGCTCATTCTTGTATTCCAGATTTCAAATATTTTGTGAAATGGAGTGTGTATTTTCTATTCTGATTGCATTTCTGCTTTATGTATTCAGCTTGCTTAAGTGTTAGTGGCTTTGTTTATTATGCTAGTATTCATCATGTTACACATATACTGTGTTAGCACAAATGCTTACATTCTAAATTCTTAAAAAGGACTTTTTTTGTTAGAATATAACATGTCTTAAACCTGATTGATTCTTCAAAAAACACTTTGGAACCTTGTTTTCATATGTTCATGTTGATTTTTAAAATATTTTTATGATTTTTAATGGTTTCTGTGTTTGTTTTTCAGGATGAAATAAGTGAAGATACTAGCTGTATAGATTTGAATGAACAGGAAAAAATGGATACAAAGGTAAGTATGCCTAGGCCATATAATTTTGTGTGTATTATTTGAGACTCTTGCTTGTGAAAATTACTGTGTTTCACTCTAGGAATGAGTAAGAGTGTGTGTAGATACATAGCATAGACTCTCCAGTAAACATATAAATATGTTTTCAATATACACATCGATATTAATGAATTGCAGTATGTTAAGTGCTGCCAGGCTAAGCTGAGCCTCAGTCCTTTTTCACATAGATCAGTGTTTTCTTCCCTGGTCATTCACAGAGTGTTAGGCATAGCTCAAAAATTAATGATGATATTTAAAAACCAATTTGTTACATCTGATCAAGGATGTGTTTATATGCCTTGCTTTGCTTGCATCCCAAACTTGATGCCTATTACTGCTTTAGAGAACAGTTGGACTGTTAGGCTGAGAATCCCAAAGGCAGCTGCTGTCTTGTTCACTTAGATAAAATCATTTCAAAGGATGATAAACCTTTTCTGGTAATGAAAATTAATGTACAAAGATACAGCATACCTTCTGGAGACTTGCAGAGGTTCAAGCATGCCCCTCCTATATGTTGTAATTTAGCAGGCAATTTTTCTGCTGATTGGTGAGCAGAAAGGGTGACAGTCTGTCTGGAGATATATGATAGGACCTCTCCACTTGTCTTATACAGTTTTTATAGGGCATGTTCTGTTGTCTTCTGAATACTCTAAAAATGTTTATTAAAATGTTTAAGTGCTTTGGTTTACAGTTTCCACACCCTTAAGTGAGGAACTGTATCTTGTTATGTAGTCACCTTGAAATCTCTTTGAACTCAAGACAGGTGAAGGCAGAAATTCATGTAAGCATTTAATCCTGACATTGACAATAGATCCTCTGAATATAGATCATTATAAAAGACATAGCTAATCCTGTTAGCTTTTATTGTCAGTCTGCTCTAAATCTTATGTCTTTAATATGCATGGAAGGAAATGGAGGAAGGGACTTTTTCAGCATAAACATAATTTTTTCTCCATTGAAATGGATGCCTTTTTATTGCAGTATGGTTCAGTTTTAACTAATGGGCTGTTTTCCTTGAAAGGAGAATGTGCCACTGTCCTGCTGTAGCTGTGCAGGCCCACTCTTTTAGCTGCAAAACTGGCTCTGACAGTCATCTCTTCTTCCAGAAACCCACTGAAGTAGGAGGAAAACATTTCTGGCAGAATGGCAAAAGGAGTGGAAAAGCAGTTGAATTTGCAACAAATTCAGTAGCTTTTCACGTCACCTTCCTTGATACTACACTTTTGTCTTAGATAAATTGAATGACATATAATGTTTTCCTATAGAATTCTGTATAAAGGATGTTAAGTGGTTAAAAAAGTGACAACTGAGAAGTCACTTGTGCTGATGTCAAATTTCTAATCAGTAAAACATTCTCTAGTGTGGTCATTTCTGTATTCTGAAAGGATGCGTATCAATGCAGCAAGTACCAATACTTGCCTTTTTTCTTTTTCTTTATATGCACAACCTAAGGCTTTCTGATTAATGGAATTCTGTCTAAATAGCTTTTGTAATTGGAATCGGTGTAACTGTGATGCTTTTTCTTTTTCTTTTTTTCTTTTAGGAGCAACTTGAGACAGAAGTGAATGTTAATTCTCAAACAGAAACTCTTCAGACAACTTCTCTGCAAGCTCCTCAGGTACTGCGTTTAAAACAAATACCTCTGTGTGCATGTGTGTGCTAATCTGTGGTGAAAACATTGAAATTAAAATGAGTCCAGATGTTAATTGTATAATTTTTAATATAAATCCATTGTATGGAAAGCTGCTTGTTGTTACTGTCACAATTTTTGTGTTTTAGATGGTCATTGATCTTAATGAATGTGCATTGTAGCTAAACATGTATGGCTTGCCATACAAACTGACCGAAGCTGGATTCGCTCTTCTGAATTGTGCCTTCAAAGTAAGGGGCTCAGTTTATTCCTTTGTGCTTTGCACATCACAGAATAATCCTTTCTAACAAGGAAAGAAATGCGTTAAATAGCTGCTGCTCAAAGATACCCTGGTAGAGCTTGAGAATGTCTGAAACATAACTTCAGATTCTGATATTTGGTATGATATGCGAGAGAGAGGGAAGTAGCCTTAAAACTCAGCCAGCTGTGTTGCTTCACTGCAGGCATTAAGCATATAAGGAGCTTTGGAAAAATAGACATGAGGGTCACAATTATGTGGTGTTCACTTAAATTTTTGTTCCTAATATTGTAATAACTTTTGGAGAACACATCTTTGTCTTTACTAGAATTTTGAAGCTTCTTTTTGCACACTACTGATAAAAGTTTCACTATCACAAAGCATTTTATAAACACTTATTAAATGTGTAGTAAATGTATTGCATGAAAAAGGAGATAGTTTGCAATAGTATTAATGGTATTTGTTATTGGACCATTGGAACTGTGTGACTAGTTCTGGATAAAAGTACCAAAATTGCTTGGCAAAAACTCTAGTTATTACATGGGCACTCTATACTGCTTCAGCGAATTTTTTAGATCCTGTAGTACCCCAGGTTTATTTCACCTAATGTTAAGGAATGATTATATAAAGCTTTGTAGCCCTTATAAATTGTGTAGCTGTTACTTTAGCAAAAGTAATCTGGAAACTGCAAAAGAATGGTGGCCTCTTTTGTCATTTTCAGTATTCTTGTTGGCTTTGTCTGAGACACTGCTAGTGTTGCAGAAAATAGAAACATGCTAAACCCAGGTCAGCACCAACCAGAGTGGGCTGCTGGGGCCAGGGGGAAGCAGGAGGTCAAAGCTATTTTGTCCTGAGTCCTTGCCGAATTGTGCTTTGTAACTGTAACAGTCAGTGTTAAGTTGCTTTATTTCTTTTTAATAAAACACCAATTAAGAGTGAGTCATTTTAATCCATTTTTCCCACGTATCAAATATACTGTATGTTAATTTTGAATGTTTATAATGTAAGAAAACATTTTGTGATAAATTATGGGAAGTAATGCATAATAATTGGGTTCTCGAGATGGCAGATAATCTGCCGCAGTGGAAGAAAAAGCACTTGAATGTTTTTTAAAAGAAACAATCCCAACAATAGAGGTTTGCTAAGCATGTGAGAAATCAGTGAATCACACTGAATGTTGAGATTGTTCCTCTTTGGTGTTTTCTTTGGCTTTAGATATAATTTTGCTGAATAGGATTTAAGTCTTTTGAGAAAAAAGTGTTCAGATTATTTTCAAGGTGAAATTCTTAACCCAGGCATATAGGACTGTTTGAGAGTTCATCATACTTTCTACATGTAAATCTAAACCAGTATGAAAAGTTGGAAATTTGCCTGTAAAGAGCTTTTAAGCACTCTGAAATGTGAATGCATGAAGACACATACTTAGCATTACGGACAGGTTTTCACCATTCAGCTGTAAGGGGCTGAGGCTTAATACTGAATTGTTCAAAGGAATTTTTAAATACTAAACGTGTAGGTCAGATAGTAGATGCTGCTGATCAAGGACCCTCGTTATGTGGATATGATGTTTTATTATAATACAGGTTATTAGTAGGCTCATCTTTATCTGCAGCACTTACTAATTTCTTGCAGTTGTCAAAAAAGAAAATGCACACTATGAAAGACAATCTTGTACAAATTTTCTTTAATGACCCTGTAGGCAAAGGAAATACCTTCTTCTGTTTTTATAAATTGTAATTATCCTTGTCTTGGTATATTCCTGAAAACTCTTCAAAGATCTTGTTTTTGAAAGTTAATGCAAATTACTACAATATTTTTCTTTTGATATTTGCAAAGTTAAAATACAACCAAACTTCTTTTCTTTTCAGAAAACACCTAGTACAGACCTTTCAGATATCCCTGCTCTCCCTGCAAATCCTATTCCTGTTATCAAGAATTCAATAAAATTGAGATTGAACCGGTAAAAACAACCTCAGGGGTCCATAAACAGTATCTGCCAACTCAACCTGTTGTCTTCTAATGCTAGAAAAAAAGGAGAATGGAGGGTGCAAGACTAGAACATGATCGCAAATGGATTTAGGTATATTTTGTGCACTTCCTTTTCTGGGCTAAAATCACCACTTGATTGGAAGTCCAGGTTAGTATGTGAAGCCAGGAGTACAATTAATGTGTTAGCAACAGTTACATTAAATATTTTGAAGGATTACTGCCTTTAAAAACATGAACACTATTTGTAGCCATATTTGACATTCTGATTGAATTTGTTTTGATGCATTGTTTCAAAATTGAGATAAAACTGGCATAAGAATCCCTTAAATGCACTTTTATGTACTTTTTTTATTGGAGTATGACTAATTTTAGATCTTCAGCTGATACACTTTTGTTTTATTGAAGAATCTCTTCAATAGTAGTAATCTGCAAATTGGATGATGTTCTATGATATACTATACATTGAAACCAAAGTGTATAGTCTATCTAGTTCAACTGCCTTCAAGAAGCAGTAAGCCTTGAAAATGAAATGTCAAATCTTGAGGTTATAAGACATAAGTTGAGGAAGTAATTGGGAAGTCTTGGTATTGGCGGGATGTGATTAAGATGTGGTCTACTTTTATTTATAGGATTGTTTTAAGGTGCATACAGATCAGCAATCAAACAGTGAATAAACTTTCCTTTGAGCTCATCAAACTCCTTACTCCCTTTTGATCCCTTTGTTTCTTGGTAAAAGCTTTTGCATTTTATGTTGGGTTTTTATTTTGGGGTTTGTTATTTTTTGGGGTGGGGGGTTGCAGCTTGTATGCACCATATATGACAATAGTTATTTATACAAAATAAAAACAAGCCATGTACTCATTTGGGTTCCTCCCTGCCTCCTTACCTAATTGTAATACCTTGTGGCCTGTAGGCACAAATACAAAGTTTTGTCCCATGACTAAAGTGTTTTACTAAATATTGTGTGCCTGTGAAATGTAACACCTGTCTTGATGGCCTTTGAGTCACTAAATATAAGATGAATTTTGTACACTCCATAAAAGTCCTGTATGCATTTAAAAATTTCAAATTTTAAATAAAAGGTGAAAAGATTTTTTCCCTAAGAATTTTAACCTTTTTATTTTTAGATGGCTCATCAGAAATAGTTTTACATACTGAACAATGCTGAATTTTTAAAAATCACATTTCTAGTAAGCACTTGACATCTAGTAAGCTCTCTTACTCCTATTTTTTGTTCTTGTAGTCCTATCAAAAAAGTACAACTTTTTCTTTTGAAAGAAGTTACTCTCTCATGGCAAACAGCAGCAGTAGTTGAGGAGCATGAGGGATACCAACAGAAATACCAGATGTAGATAACAAGCTTCATGTTACTATTACTTAAGTCTGAAATACGTGGGATGTCAAATCATACTTCCCATACTTTGATTAGCATGTTTTATGAACTCCCTTCTCCCATTGTGCTCCATCCTATTACATGTGCATCTTTCATGTTAAAATTAAATTACTTACACTCTTCCCCTTATCCTTCTAAATTAATTCTCCAAAGTCAGAGTGTAGCTTATCTTTTACTTAGGCTGTGCAGTAACTGAAGGGGTTTTTTTCGCCATTTGTCTAAGATGTCTAGTATACAATATTTCTCTTTTCCTTGCCCTGTGCAGCCTGCTGTCGTCCACCCCCCAAAGAAGGTTATATTAACAGTTGAAGTGTACAAGGTGTCTGTGTATTTTGTGTAGCTATGGAGTTTAGATCGAAATTGCCAGGCACAAATTTAGTCTTGTCATTTTGTTTACACATCGGAAAATCTTTTTCATTTTATTAAACGTTTCATGTAACTGCACCCAAGTTTTGCCAAGCTGGAAACTTGGAACTTTTCTGTATAGTGACTTTTTAATTCTAGTTTTCATAACCTGGAGATCAGACTGTTGCTTTCGCATGATGTACGTAGTGTCTCATGACTGGAGTTTGCTTTGTTTTATAGTATCTGTACTCCTTGTATTTTTCAAGAGCTATTTTGTAAACAGATGATGTATTTCTCCATTGAAAACACAATAAAAAACAGCACAATCCCATAGTTGTCTGATTTTTCTGAATAAAAAATTATTTTACTCTCAATTCATATTTAGCTCTTAAATTTTTTGCCAAGACAAAAGACACACTGTGGCCTGAAGTTAATAAATGAATGTTCTTTAGGCAAGCATGATACTAGATATGGGAAGTGGAAGTAGCCGTCAGCAGGGTGTTGAGTTCTAATCTGTTAAAGGGGAAGATTGTGGATTGTGCAGTGGCTTTATTGCCAAAAAACCCACAACCCAAAACACAAACATAAAAGCCAAAACACATTTTAAGAGCATCCATTCCTTATCTCCTGATTAGGAGTCCATCTCAAAACCTTGAATTCTTAAAAGCTGACACAAGTATAAGAAATGTGGGCAGGAGCTATTTGGGGCTATACTGTTTTCTTGAAAAGTCTGAACTCCGTTTTTTCAAAACATTAGCTGTAATGGTTTTTGGCATCTTACACTTGCTTTTCTTCCAAGTGTAAGATGCCAAGTAAATATTTTATACGTCGGTAGATGGCACTGTTTCTCTTCCTGTCAAATCGTTGACGCTTGCCCTGAAATAAAAGTAAAAATTACAAGTAGCTGTGCATCCCTTGATTGATCTTTGTATCAGCATGAGCCCCATCCTCCAAATGCTTGATGTGAGTAACTTTAAGTAGCCTCCTTTTGACTAAAATTTCTTCAACTGCTACAACCACTGATGATTATGGTCGTCATATTATAATTACCCTGCCTAAAACAATAAACCTTTTGTTGTATACATTTTTCACAGCATGCAATTGCTTGTCTTGTTTAGAACAGATTCATCATCTTTATATCTTCCCCACCCCATCTCCCTTTCATCACAGCTGATGTTATTTATGGCTTTAATTCCTCTTTTATTTTCTCTGACCAATAAAAATCTGCTAGGAGATATACAAATTTCTGTTCGGTGTTTCTCAGTCTACTGGCAATAGGCTTCAGGGGGCTTGCTTTTCTGAGTTACCTATCGTGAACCTCCAGAAGTAAGTTTGTGGACTCGTAAGGATCTGCAGACAAGAAGCTGAATGTTACTGTTGTAGCCAAAATAGTTAACATTAATAAGCCACAGTTCTAACAGATGACTTTAGACATACTGATAGGAATCAGATATTTGAGTTGATGAGTTAAAGTTGTGCTTCCTTGATGTAGGTAGTATGTGTGCATACATTTCTTGCTGTGTTTATTTTGGTTTTTTTAAACTGCAATGTTCTTTAAACTTGCAGTATGAGTATATAGTAACTGATAGTAAACATACCTTAGTGAGAGAACCAATTTTAATCAACAGTAAAAGTTAAAAAGAGTTCTTCAGCTTTGAGGATAACAAAAAATAATTCAGTATAGCACGAACCCCCTGCTTATTACTGACCCAGATCTATACTAAAGTGCAAGAAAAACTACTGTGGTAGTTACTGAGGAAGTGGAGTAGTTTATTTTCTCATAATACACATTTTCTTGGAAGCTGTGTGTGCTTGTGCAAACAACATTTTGCACGTTGAAATGATCCTGGCATAATTTACGTAACTTTATAAACACACTAGTCAAGTACCTTTGCTATACTTAATCTCTCTTTGGCATCATTGTGGCTGAACAAAATTTTGTCACTTAAAAATAGGCAGGTCTTGATAGTATATGCACAAATGTCTGTATATACATGTACTAGCTCATTACTTGGTAAGTTCACTTTTTTTAGAGATCTGATGTTCGTGTTGGAAAAATGTCAGTAATAAACTATTTTTAGTTTACTAATCTTTGTGGAAATAAGGATCTGTTTAGTAAAAACAAATCTTGGATTTGTTGACAGAGGCAGATGCAGTCTGATACGGCTACAAAGAGAATACTAATAATTTGAAATACCTACAAACATCAAACAGCTGCTGCTATCATCACCAAAAGAATCCAAACTTTGATACCAAGCTTCAGAAGGCACATTTTATTATGAAAAAGTTTAAAGGTGAACCAATGTTGGATGTCCCATCTGCTTTTTGGATATTTCATAGAATCATAGAATGTCTTACGGAAGGGACCTTAGATCATCTAATCCAAGCTCCCTGCGCTGGGCAGGGATGCCCTTAACTAGAGCAGGTTGCTCAAGGCCTCATCCAACCTGGCCTTGAACATCTCCAGGGAGGGGGCAGCCACAACCTCGCTGGGCAATCTATTCCAGAGTCTTGCCATCCTCGTACTGAAGAATTTCTTCTGAAGATCCGATCTAAACCTACTGTCCTTCAATTTAAACTCAATGTTTTTTCAATAAAGTTTAGATGTATTCGTATGGTTCTGACTAAATTCTGGAATACTATCCTAAGGTAACTTTTTTTCCCTTCCTGTATGCAATGAATTAAGGATATCATAGTTCCTATTCAGCGTGTCTGGTTCTTTTTTAATGACCCCAATGTTTTTATGACCTCTATATTCTAGTGAAATGTTTAAAATAAACTAAGAATGCCAATGTTCTACACCCTTTATTAAATGTTTGCCTCAAACTCTAAAGATACTGAATTTAGAAAAAGTCAAATTTAACAACATAGTAATGGTTGGAACAAAAACTGCTTAATGGTGTATGCAGATATTATTAAGCTATGTTTTTGCAGTAAATTACTGTCCTTAAGTAAGAGCCAGAATCCAGGCAATAGGAAAGGATAAAGGGGAAAATTACTATTCATGTGAAGTGGTAAAAACTCCAACTTGTTGGGTAAGGAAGGCTGCATTTGTTTATTTAACTTAAGAAAATAGCCAATGCATATAAACTACCTCATAATAACTGTGGTTCAGAGATGTACCGGACAGCTTACAAGTGCAGATGTCTTTTTGTCTGTCTTATCTGCAAACTAGCACATGTACTTTATGAATGCATTTTGCATTTGTATTTTTAGGAGTAAATTTCCTCAGTAAGGTTACTTTAAAAATGTTTTGCATGCTCAAAAATCTACAACTTTCCAGTTCATCTCAGATTATTTCTGTGATATTTTCTTCAGTTAGGGTAATATGCTGATCTAAAGCTGATGAAATTATTAAAGTTGAATGGAATGGTAGGTCATGTACCCTTCATTGACTGGGCATTTCAAGTGGCATTAACATAAAACAATGCAAGGGGAGTGGATACTTGACACTTAAAGAAGAGCATTCCCCGTCTTCCCCCTCCCTCCCCAATTAGAAGTTCAATTGTAAGTGAATGGAACAAATTTGATACTTCTTAAAAGGACGCGCGAGAGGTTTGCACTACGGCTTCAGCTTCACCGAAACCTTGCCGTGTGCGGTGTGTGATGCTGTCTGCCTTGCAGAAATCTGGCATGCGCACTGTCCTTGTTTGTGTTCTCAGTCTGCAGTGGAGCTGTTAATAAAGAGATTGATGATAAAGTTGTTGAAAAGAGACAGTTGGACAGGACTGCTCGCCATGAGTGACAGAGGGCATGCTCTGCCTTCACAGCCAAGAACGTTGCCCCCAGCAGAGAGCTGGCCGTGCCTGGACGCTGTGCCAAGCCTGTTCGGCGCGTGGGGAGAGCAGTCTGCAGCTCAGCCGAAGGATTTCTGTTTGATTTTTAGCTTGCATCCTTAAAGAGAGATTGCCTTTATTTAGGGTAGTTCATATGGTTTGTGAAAAACTTTATG